TTCACCAGACACTTAGAAAATCCCAAATACGCATAAATATTGCCAGGCCATTAAACTAGCTGCTTTCCATTTTCCAATCGCTTTCCGTCTTTGGAAAATATATATCTTCTCAGAAAAGAAAATTTCCTTTAAAGTGAGTTTGGTCTTAATTTTAACTAAGAGCGGTGGATTTGCCGAAAGGTGTGAAACACAATGAAACAAAAACAAGTTAGAAGCCGAACTGATCAAGTTGCACTCAATTATTTTTCGCCAATTTTCCACTTTTACGGGTGAAATTTCCCAGAAAGCCCGCCTCAGCATGTACATTCATCAGACAAAGTATAGAAATTGAATATTTTAGCTGCCAATCATGCAATCATTACAGTTTTATGTATATGGACATTCGGCAATATTCGAATTGAGATCCTTTTACAACTCAGTCGAGAAAGCTTTCACAGGGCTTGTTTGAGCGGCTCAGAGCGAAGCGGCATCGAGTGTAAATCAATATGCTTGTCGGCTCCTAAACTAATTAAAAAACATCTTATGCTGTGCGCGCTTTGTGCCCGCCAAGCTTTTGTTTGGCTCTAATTTGCCCCGAAACCGAGTCGCAGTCGTAATCGAAGTCGGAGTCGGGTCGCGGTGGCAGCCGAAACAGGATGCCGGGCATGCAACATGGCCCTGGGGCCTGGGCTGGCTAAGCCCAATCGAGGGCCGGAACTAAAAGCCAACAAAGGAGAACATGTCATAAACTAGCGCAAAGGACTCCACGCTGTGTCTTTGTTTGAGCTCGGAACGCGGAGCTCGGGACTGGCTGGCTGGCTGGCTGGAATTATGACAGGCGCACATTGAAGCCTGACTGATGTCTGTCTGTGAAATCCTGCCAGGCATATAATTAGGGTCGGGCTCAGGTTCACTGGGGTTCGTTTCTGGCCTGGCAGTTTTTTAATTGAATTAAAGCTTCCACACACACGGCCACAGTGTAAGCCCATGCAGATGGCATTGGCATTAGCTTAGGCGCCGCTATCAATATCCTTGAGCGCAACGGGCTGTCCGTCCGGCCCAGCGCTCCTAATTACAATGCATTGCGAGCGCGCATTTTTGTTCCATGCAATTAACTCCTTATCGCAACGAGCAGCAAATGCATTCGCTTCAATCAATTTGATTGAATTGCATGACACGGTCTCGATAATTATGCGATCTATAATTGCAGTGCCTGCGGGCAGTCTAGATTTTATAGTGCACGATAAGCACAACAACTATACGCTGTGAGAGGCGAAAGCTAGTTAGCCAAAGAGCACTTAGCCGGGCCATAAACGTTTTCCAATTTGTCAGCCACAAAAACCGAAACAGACACCCCAACACGAGGCGGCCAACGGAAGTATTGCTATGCATATGGCTGCTGCACAGCTAGAGATGGGGTCGGGCTCGAGGTTTGCCAAAGCACGAGAATATCTGCCCCTCAGTCCCAGCTCGACTAGCGCTGCATCTTTCTCATTTGCACATATTATTTTAACTTAAGCTAAGCTCTTTTTTCATGCTCGTGCTCGAGAAGGAGGCACGCAACCAGCTCTAGCAGAAGCCCCTAACAATGAACGTGTAATGACAAGATGTTGCCCAACTGACCAAAGGCTCTCGTTTACTCTCTCCTCTATCACCCCCCCTCTCTCTCTCACTTGTTCCCTCCCTCTCTCTCTCTCTCTCTGGCTCTCGCTCTCTCCGCTGTGCATACTAAAAGTTGCCCAACAGTTTTATTAAGCTGCTGAACTCTTGTGTGTTAAAAGTCAATTTTCCAATTTGCAAACTGTCAAAAACATTCGAAAAGCAATTTGTGCCATAGTGCATACATATACCAGCGAGTGCGAGAGCGAGAGCGAGAGAGAGAGAGAGTGAGAGAGAGAGGGAGGAGAGAGCGGGCAGGCTGTAGTTGAGAGTACAAGCCAAATTGCGTATACGCCTTGTATGCTTTTGGGCGACGACACTTTGCGGCAGAAGTTTTCCAATAAAACGGCAAAACTTTGCTGCGAACAAAATTAAAGAAGACGACGACAACGACAACAGGCACACGATGAGCATAACGGGCGCCATGGGGTTGCACGCCCTTTCAGGGGGGTTGCAGCGCCCAGCGCCATTTAACTGTGGGCCCATTGGGGTGGACGTCGACGTCAACGTCGACGCTGGCAGCGCCGTTTTTGGGGACACGGCGACGTAAATTGTTTGCTGCCAATGTGAAGTTTATGAAAAAGATTAAAGTTGAAAAGTGGTTGACGAGGCGAGCAGAGTATGGGCGAGGCAGAGAAGGCAGGGAGCAGTGGAAAGTGGGGCGAGCAGCGCGCTGTTGCGGCCTGGCGCGTGCTCTTAGCACCGGCTCCAGCTAGAGCTTCACATGAATGCCAAATGCCGCAGGCAGCCACCGGCGTGGATGCTGTCGGGCGGGCGGGCGGACGGACGGCAGAGAATGTGGCAAAATTGAAAATGGCTGAAACGGGCTGCCAGTGCCTGTGTGTGTGCGTGTATGTGGGTGGGTATGCGTGTGTGTGTGTGTTTGTATTTGTGTCTATGGGGTGGAAAATTGAGTTTGATGCTGGATGGGAGTGTCGGGGGGAGTCTGTTGATGCCACAACAGAACGCCCAGCGAGCGCAACAGCCAAAGATGAAAGCAGACAATTTTGCTTGGTTGGGGTAATGCTCATAATGATGATGATGATGATGATGATGATGTTGATGTTGATGATGAGCACGTTGATGATGGGCGTGCCACACGTCAATGGTACACACTCTCGCTCACTCGCTCGCTCGCTCTCCCTCTCGCTCAGGCAGCTGCTCTGCCCCTCGCCCTGTCTGCGTCTCGCTTTGCGGCGCCTATGACGCACCATGAATGGAAATTACAAAATTGATTTTGATGATTTAATTAAAATGAAGAAGCACAAACTCAAATTATAACAGTCGGCGAACGGCAGCTCAAACCTCCCTGGCTGGCTTTTGAGTGGCCCATTTGCCCGCACTCTGCGCCACATCCCACAGCCAAATGTCAATATTCATTTAACATTTGAAGCTCTGGCTATGTGTGTGCGAGGGAGTGGGGCGAGTGTGTGGCCTAAAGCTGCTAACTTTAATTTATTTTCTTCGTACTGATTTGAGCGACAGGAAATTAGACTTTGAGTTGGCTCTGCTCCTTGAGCTTTGTTATTTCTATCACTCTGCACTGCTAATTGATCTTACGAAATAGCCAAAACAGAAAATTGCATATTTCTAGAGCTTGTTTCGAGAAAGCAAAGCTAAGATTAAAGTGAAAATTGAATTCAGTAGCATATTTTTTCTGCTTATTATAAGCTGTATTCAATTTTATCCAAATTACCCATAATTGGATAAGTTTACAGTACGCACTCGCTCAAAGCAACCCATTAAATGAAATCCAAAAAGTCAGCTCTTCTCTGAGCTAACTGTACGTTAAGAGATGTCCTTTCTGCACATTTAAGTTAAAATAAAGCAATCAAATATATATTGTGTACGTCGAGTGTTGCATTTAGCGAGGGCGTACTGTACTTGGTGCTCCTTGTCTATTCGCATTGCCTACTTTCTGGAGCGCCACAAAATGTTGAATATGCCGTTTTGTGATATAAGCTGAATTAGAAAGCGTATTCGTTAGCAATTATATTGTGCACCTAGTCAAATAGGCAATTAAACAGCAGCCCGAACAACTTGTCAGCCTTAATTACTTGCCCAAGTTGATTTACTCGCATAGCGAAGGACAACAACAGCAACAGCAATTCGCTTGCTGTTTGCATTTGCCAACAACATTTACACAACAGTCGGCGTCGAGCTCTGGGCCCAGGCAGTCGCAGTCGCAGTCGCAGTCGGCTGCATGCTCTGCATATTTGTAATGCAAATCAGTTTCTGGCTGTGCATCAAATTGACAACGAAAATAATTTTACGCGCCATTATGTTTAATTAAACAGCCGCAACAACCAAAGCGAAAGCAGACAACACACACACACACACACACACAGAGACATACGTCTGCTTGTTTATGTATTTTGTGGCAGAGCACGACTAAAAATAACAACAACAACGGCGACTACAACAACAACGGCTACGACATAATGGTAATAAAATTTCCATCAGAAATAATTTCTTATTAATTTGCGCAAATTGCATTTAATTACTTTGAGCGCAGCAGCAGCGACGCCGGCGGCACAACGGAAATCCAAAATATGCCTCCCACTTGGCAAAGCAGCCAAACGTACACGCTCGCTCGTTCGCACTCACATGCGCTCGCATGCTCGCGCTCGTCACTCTCGCGCTCTCTCGTTCGCTCGCTCAGCACGCTCTGGCATTTTGCTCTCTTTGCTTTAATTAGACAGACGCTGTGCCTGCGCGCTCTGGTTGGGCAGAGCTGTTCGAAAGTTTCGCTCACACTCACACACACACACACACACGCACACGCACACACATTGTAACGATAATTCTAATTATAGCTACGGGCACTAATTGAATTTTATTTCTACAGCATTTGCCGCTTAACAGCTTTGGCCACGTCAATCGTTGTGTCTGCCGTTGTTGCTGTTGTTGCTGCTGTTACGCCATTTTGTTTGTCCAGCTGTCTGTCTGCCTGTTCTGGTTGCCCATTTCTTCTTCTACTTCTGCCGCCGCATCGCTCTTTAGCTATCCATCTCGCTCTGGCTTTGTGTGCGGCTGCTTTCATTAACAATTTGGCTGGGCGGCCATTTTGCTTTTTTGTTCGACTTGATGTCTTGTGGCCCGTTCTCCACTGAGTCTCTTCTTCTTCTGCTCGTCATGGCCGCGTAATTAAGCTCATTCAGTTTTCCAATTATGTTTGATGACCTTCGTGTTGTTGTTGTTGTTGTTGTTGTTGTTGTCGGCTGTTTAGACACTCGCATTTTGCGCCTGATTAAATTAGCGGCCGCCTCCTCGGCTCAAGTGGCGCATTTAATTGCTTTTGCGCGCTTTGCTGTTTAATTAACTGACACTTATGCCGCTTGTTTGTGTTTTATCTCTTTTAGGTCTGGTTTCAGAACCGACGCGCCAAGTGGCGTCGCCAGGAAAAGTCGGAAAGCCTGCGTCTGGGCCTGACGCACTTTACGCAGCTGCCGCATCGATTGGGCTGCGGTGCATCCGGTTTGCCCGTGGATCCTTGGCTGTCACCGCCGCTGCTGAGCGCGCTGCCAGGTAATTGTTACACGTGGCAGCATTGGATCTTAACTAATTTTGGTTTTTTTTTTGTTGTGTTCGCAGGATTTCTTTCGCATCCGCAGACCGTTTACCCCAGCTATCTGACGCCGCCGCTAAGCTTGGCGCCGGGCAATCTGACCATGAGCAGCCTGGCTGCCATGGGCCATCACCATGGGCCGCCGCCACCGCATGGGCCGCACAGCGGACAGCTGGCACCGCCACCCACCGGGCCACCACCGCCACCGCCACCGCATCCACATGCACATGCACATGCCGGCCATCATGCGGTGCCGTTGTCGCATCTCTCGCCGCACCTGTCACGCATGTCACCGCACGCGACCTCGCTGTCGCCACATCATGGAAACGTGGCCAGCCTGACGCCCTTGCCGACCGGCGCGACGCCAGCCACGACGACAGCATGCTCGACCGCCTCGTCCTCGTCGTCGTCGCTGGAGTGCAGCGGCCCGGATGTGTGCATGTCACCGCAAAACCTCAGCATATCGAATGCCGACTCCAATGGCGATCTGCGCGACTGCAGCGATGCGGATGGCGGCAGCTGCAGCAACGGCGCCGGCGGCCTAGAAAAGTGCACCAACGAGCTGCTCGATGTCGGCAGAGAGAGTCCCCCGCCGCCCTCCTCGCTGGCCATCAAGCGCACATCAGCCGCAACGCCGCCTTCAGTGGACATGCGCAGCAACTCGATTGCCACGCTGCGCATCAAGGCCAAGGAGCATCTTGATAATCTGAACAAGGGCCTAATCTCCATGGTCTAGCCAGGCAGTGGCAATGGTTCCTGCATTCCTACACACAAGGACCAGGCACAGCAATTCACATAAGTTAAACTCAAGTGTTAGCCTTAGTTCTTCACGCAAATCTCTCACAACAACTCAACAATCCAATCAAAATCCACAGAGATACATTTATCTATACATATATCCATCCATATAAGTACATGGGTAATCGTATTTGTTTAGCCCTGTAATATCGTGCGTGTTTTAGTTTAGTGAATTCGTCGTTGTAAACATTATTTGTATAGCCAAGAACCAGTGAACAGAAAGTTACTCAACTCGAACTTGCAACATCCGAACGGTAAAGCAAATAAATCGGCAATTTAAATAGATTTTCATGTGCATAGAGATCGATTTGTAACCTTTCAATAATTGCTAAAGAAAACTGATTTAAATATCAATATAAAAAACATCCTAATCCCAATGCATATTAGCACAAAATAAATATACAAGTTTTAGCTCACATCAATTTTCAACAATTTTGGCATTTGAAGAAAATGAAAATTACGAAATGGCGCCAAATTTGAATAGCAAATCGTGAAACACAAAGTGAAAGCAATTTCAATTTCAAATCCACATTATAATTGAAATAAATTTCATAGTTCAAAAATTGTATATTCCCTAATAATAAAAAAGTGGAATATCTCAGTTCAAAGAAGAAAAGTAAATACAAGTTGTACAAAATATTGAATCTAATAAGTTGCCCGCGATCGTGGTTGGTTGATGCAATCACTAGAGCTTATCAGCCACGTTAATCGGCTGTCGAGAGCTCATTAATGACTAAATTAATAATCAAAACCCGAAGCACTTGCTCGGCGAAGCACTCAAGACGCGACCCGAAGGGTCAGCCTGGAAAAACACAAATTAAAAATGCTGACAAGCGGCAATTAAATGCAATTAAAAAGGACTAAATGCAGCGCAAACAAAGGCGCATAATGGCACATAATTGACAGGAACAAACTGAAGGGAAGTACAAATAAATGCGTATATGTAGAACCTGCAGCAAGTGCCACACATGTGGCAAGTATATGTGGCAAGTGTGTAGTGTCTAGTCTAGTCGCCCGTCGAATGATATAAAATAATGAATAAATTATAATTGATTAACGCCGCGGGCAATTAAAATGCAAGCACGCTGCCCCCAGCGGGGCGTGTCACTTGCCCAAACATATAGCACACAAATAGTATATCCCATACATATATATATATATATATATATATCTGCCACAATGTATGTTTACCTCCAGGAGCTGGCCTCCCTATGCATGTGCACACAATAATAATTGCTGGCAATTACACTGTGTGCTTATCACACGCACAATATCTTGGAAAAATCTCGCTGAAAATGCTTTCAAATGCGAGCATAAACTAGGTGTACGCTTTGGTTGACTGTCGGGGGAAATAACTTAAATAGGGACAGTGCCTAAAATATGAAATGTCGTGTCGGGGGTGGGAACTCGGGCTCGGGCTCGGGCTCGGGCTTGTTTATTTATTTCAAGGCAATTGCAACGTTGCAATCCATTGGCCAGCAATTTATTTCATTTGAGTAATGCATGGAAAAGTATCCTTTTAAATGGAAACAACTTATATTCGATTTCATTTTAAATATAAAAGCAACTTTTACAGCAATATTTCTGTAGCAGAGAGAGAGGGCTTGGACAAAAAAGGCTGCAATCACACAAATGCGCAACATGCAGCATAATACAAATATTTTACTGTCAATTTACTTAAACGAAGCTCTCATTTGTGCATTGAAAATGTTCTTCTTAGCAAAAGTTTTTCAATTTACAGTTGAGAGTTATTTTTTAAAATTTTTTTTCATTGATTTTTTAATTTTTTGTTTGAATGCCAATTGATAGCAGGGCTTTAAAATGGCATATCTTCCAAAATCTAAGCATTTTTCGTAGAATTGTCGAAAAAAAACGAAAAACTCCAAAATCGTTTTTTCCCTTGCACACGCTTTCTTTAGTTCGAATTTCGAAGCCTCTTTTAAGCAGTACACGCTATCTGTTGCACTAAAAAAAAAGCTTGCTCCACGGTCCCTTGTCATTTTTACCGTTATAAATGGCCCCGATCTTGGAAAGACTGGGCGTTTTCTAAACGTGTTTTGAAAATTGCATTGAAAAATAATTTTTAGAGATTTACGTTGGTCTTGTGGCGCCATCTATGATTGGTTGCGAAACTGTGAAAGCACAGTCAGTAAGCAGTGCGCGCACGACTGCTGTTCACAAAAAAAGCAAGCAGTTCAAACATTTAAAATCAGCAAATTGAAGTCAAAAATGTTATCTAGTTTGAATATTAACCTATATAAATATACAATTCCGCCGATATTTCTTTGGTACAATGGCGGAGTTGTTATCTAACGCCTTTAGACTGTTCCTCTTGTATTTAAGCTGGGATTTGTCAGTAAAACCTTCAAATTACTCACTTTAATTGCTCCAAAATTTCCTCATAAGAAAAACATCACAATTTATTAATTTTCAATCTATTTATTTTGTTTCATAGCATCGTATTATCATTGCTTAATTGCATATTTAGTTTTTATTTGATGTATCTACACCTAGCGGGTATTATCCGGCGTTGCCCAAGTAAGCTTTGTCTGGTCTTTTCCAGTCTTTTCCTCCTGCCTTCCTTTTGCCAAGTTGTGACTGTATTTACCTGAAATAAATAATATTTAATATATTAAAAAAAGTCGTTGTTCAAAATTAGATGTAATCGGACTGAATTTAGCCGAGTTATGTCCATTTTAATATTTAATCAATGTCGCTGCAACGTGCTTTATTATTATTATTTATTTTTGGCCTAGCGACATAGCTCCACCGACATATCTCCGCCCAGTACATTTTGCTGGCGGAATTAAGTCGACATATCGCTGTGCGAAGGCATGGCGTTTTCAAAATAATATAATTTCCACAGCTCGACATAATGTCGCTTTAAAACAATATAGCTTCACCGGTTCTAAAACGACATACTTACTTACTCATGAGTAGGTTTATATATACATATACATATACATATATACATATGTCTGTATGCTCATATGCATGAATGCATTAGTACACGTTTATATGCAAGTAACTACGTTATGTTTTCGTTTTAAACTGATAATCTGGTGATTCCAAGGCTATTGCTTGTTTTAATTATTATACAATTGTTTCATTTCAAAGCCAGAGTCAAAACAAAGACATTTCAAAATTATTTTATATTAATTAATCCATATTTTTATTGGCTGTTGGTGTTAAATCTTCTTAGTTGTATATAAAAACATTACATATTACCTGTTCGACTTCTTGTTTACAGGTCGGACATTTAGGTTTAGTATTTTCATTTAATGAATCATTGCTTAGTTTATTGTAGGCAACAATTTGGTCCCAACAGGTGGCACAAATATTTAAATGATAGCATGGGCGCAATAAAACTGTTTTTGGGTTTTTTAAGCGAACAACGCATGGATTCAATTTAACAATTGAAGACATATGACTTGAATTCGAAACATTCGTGGAAAGTGACGAAAGTGTGGAAGATTTCATTTCAGACGAACTTCCGGGAATATTTGATTCATCATCCAAGTCCTGCCTTGAAAATCGATCATCTATCGAAACAGTTCGAGACAAAAAGCCCTGTATATCAATTTTACCCATTTCAAAAAGAATCATGGCATCCATGATTTTTTGAGAGCGATCCTGATAACAAGAGAGAAAGTTTAAACATATATGTAATTTATATTAAATTTTCAGCCAACTTACATGTAGTTGCTGCGTCGATGGCTGATTGCCAATGCCATCGATTTGAAAAAGTCGAGCGAATTCGCGACTTTTTTCATATTCAGCATCAATAATGCATTGGACGAATTTAAAAAAATGCCCTTTTGCTCGAAGTTTGTTGCCCAATTTCAAATTGTATGCCGTGACAGAGTCCGTAGTTTTAGTTGAACGTTTAAACACCGATATGTTTTTAGGTCCTTCCTAAATGTAGAGTTTAAATGTTAATTGATTTCTAATTAAAATAAAAGGAAAAGAATTCAAATGCGACATAAAAAATACCTTTTGAAGCCACTGTTTCTCAAAATATATCAAAAATGGAGTAAACAAATCCTGGTATAAAGCATTTGCTTCACATTGCAGTAGATTGAAGCCTCCGACAATTCTCTTCTCTGGCAAGAGCGGTAAATGCAGAAATTTCATAAACAGCAAATGCACTTGTTTATTGCTTTTGAGCATATTTTCTAAACCAATTGATTTATTTGCATTTTCTCTGCATGCTTGTTTAAAATGGAACCACGAGGCATAACAATTCATGTTGGGATGTAACTTTTTCAAAGGGTTGCGCATCGCGTTTTCATCATCGCAAATAAACGATGCACCATTTAAGCAGCAAGTGTTGGATTCAATATATGTAAACAAATGCTGATAGCAGAGCTCCGTTTTTTGCGTCATCAAAACAAATATAAATGGCGTTATCTAAATAATAAAATATTGATTAATACAATAAATAAGGCAAAAAAAGCCAAGAAAAGTTACCTTCTGCATGTATTCAATGTAGATTATTAAGAACTCCTTAAAGTCCCCGAGCGGGCGTACTTTGAATGTAGCATCAGTTAAAAAATGCCTATTGTGCTCCGGAATATGAGATTGCATCAACGCGATTATCTCGTCTGAAGCAAATATGCAGTACGCGAATGAGCTCGATAAGTACACATTTTTGAAAAACTTTTTTGGAGTATTTCCCTTGGTCATGCCATAAGTGCACATCACATTTGCCTTTTCAAAAGCTAAACGGACGGCCTGGGGAGAAGTTGGGGATATTGGCAAGACGTGCTGTCTCTTTCTTTGCAGAGTGCGCTTAACAGTGTCGTAGTTTAGTTCAATCTGCCTTTCTCCTTTAGTTTTCCTAATTGATTAGACAAAAAATAGAGTGTAGTTAATTAAAATATGTCACAGCAGAAATGAGGTAAGGCTGCAACCTTACTTTATTTGAAAGTAGATTAAGGGCGCAAACAAAGAATATCATTTATTTTATGGTAATCTTTTTGATTAACTCAAATATTTAAAGTTGCTGCAGCCCAACTTTGTTGCATAGTGTTGCTAGTTTACAGTTATATATGCATTTGCGCGCCTAAAAAAAAGTAGAGAGAAGCTAATATATATGTACATATATACATATATACATATATACATATATACATATATACATATATAAATATGTAATATACATTTTTATAGGAAATTTTGTCCTTGCTTTTATTTATGGTACGCATGTCTCCCACTAATTAAAATTTCAATATAATTTGTACTTACTCAACGAGCACATCAGTAAATATTTGTTTGATGTCGGTATTTATATTAGTTTGCAACTTCTTTTTAATTTCATTTAAGGTACTGATCTTATCCATTTCATGGC